CGGGCGAAGCGGACGTGCCGAGCCTGCTCCGTCACATCCTCCACATCCACCTCCAGCGTGGACGGGATCCTCACCACGTCCCGCCGCACTGCGGGCACAGGCGCCTTCAGCCGCGGCCCCGCGTGGGGCAGGACCCGCCTCATGACCCCCCACACGCCGTGCAAGGGGGTCCCAGCACCCCCCCTGGAGCAGCCCCCGACCCCGCAGCCTCATCCCCAGCCCCTCCTGCCCCATCCCTGCCCCGCATCCCGCCCGCCCGTGCGGACTCACGGTGCATGGTGGCCTGCACCTCGTAGACGGGGTGCAGGAGCAGGACGTGGGGGCCGATGTCGGGGCACAGCAGGGGCTGTGGCCCACGAGGCTGAGCCCAGGGGGGCTGCAAAGGTCTCCCTGCAGGGCAGCACCCCTTGGGTTCGGGCTGGGACAGTGCAGCCCTGCTCACCCTGAAATGTCGGTAGCAGCTCCGTTGTCTGCCAAAGACCTGTGGGACCACGAGGCTGAGCCCAGGGGGGCTGCAAAGGTCTCCCTGCAGGGCAGCACCCCTTGGGTTCGGGCTGGGACAGTGCAGCCCTGCTCACCCTGAAATGTCGGTAGCAGCTCCGTTGTCTGCCCTGTCTCCATGTCCTCACAGATGACCTTCTGCAGTTCTGTGGCAGTGACTTGCAGCAGGTCTCCTGTGGCCAAGCAGCACTCGTTGCCTGCGATCTCATACACGGACCCTGCAGGGTGAGGAGGGAGATTTCCTCAAAGAAAATTTCTCTACCAGTGTTTCATAGACTCACAGAATGGTTTGGATTGAAAGGGACCTTAAAGATCATCTAGATCCATTCTCCTGCCATGAGCAGGGGCACCTCCCACTAGACCAGGTTGAATCATAGACTAATAGAATCATAGAACATGATATATATATAATGCTATACATATATATGTTATATATATATTGGAAGGAACTCATCAGGACCATCAAGTCCAACTCTTATTGGAGTGCACTGTAGGGCACCCCAAGAATCACCCCATGTGCCTGAAAGCATCATCCAAAGGCTTCTTGAGCTCAGGCAGGCTTGGTGCTGGGACCACTGCCTCGGGGAGTTTGTTCCAGTGCTCAACCACCCTCCGGCTGAAAAACCTTTTCCTGATATCCAACCTGAACTTCCCCAGATTCAGCTTCTGCCATTTCCCCCAGTCCTGTCACTGGTCACAGCAGTGAAGAGATCAGGACCTGCCCCATCTCTTCCCCTGGGGAGGAACCACAGACTGCAATGAGGTCACCCCTCAGCCTCCTCTTCTCCAGGCTGAACAATCCAAGTGACCTCAGCTGCTCCTCATAAGTCATCCCATCCAGGCCCTTCACCATCCTCATGGCTCTCCTCTGGACACTCTCCAATAGCTTGATGTCCTTTTGATATCATGGTGCCCAACCCTGCAGGCACCTCCAGGTGAGGCTGCACCAGAGCAGAGCAGGACAATCCCCTCCCTGGACAGGCTGGGAAACTCTGCTTGATGCACCCCAGGGCAGGGCTGGACCTCCTGGATGGTTGCTCCAAGCCCCATCCAATATGCCCTTCAACACTTCCAGGAACGTGGCAGCCACAGCTTCTCTGGGCAGCCTGGGCTGGGGTCTCAGCACCCTCCCTATAAGATGTCCCTTACTGCTTCTGCAGGATGCCTGCAGGTGGTTGGTGCTCCTGTCCAACACTTTAGAGCTCCTGACTGAACTCAGCCATATGAAGGAGGTGCACAAGTGGTGGCAGCAGGGGCAGGTGGCCAAGGGATGGGATTAGGAAAACCAAAGCTTGCCAAGACCTGAATCTGTTGAGGGATGGGAAGGGCAGCATAAAAGGCTTCTACTGGTACATCAACAGCAAAAGGAAAGCTGGTGAAAATGTGGGTTTGCTGCTGAATGAAGAGGACCTGGTCATGAAGGATGCAGCAAAGGTGATGTGCTCAAAGCCTTCTTGGCATCACTCTTGGTATGACCAATCTTCAGCAATCTCTCTGAGACCAGGTGGAAAGTCTGGAGCAAGGAAGACCTGCCCTTAGTGGAGGAAGACAAACCTGTGTCTGTGGTGGGGCCATGGGGACCCTGAGATTGCAGAAGGGACCGTGGGTGGGGGTGGAGGTGCTGGGGAAGGAAGCTCAGGGAAAGGCAGAGCTGGTCCATGGGCCCATTGGTGGGCAGAGGTGGGGCTGGCACAGGGTCACCTTGTGAGCAGGGTGAGCTGGTGCCTTTGGCCCCAGTGGGAACTTGTTGGTTTAGGGCCCAGGCTCACGGAGCCACCCTGGTGTGTCCGGGCAGGGTGGACGGAGCTGGGCACGCAGCTGGGGACGGGCCGGTGTCCCTGTGTTGGGCACCGGCTCCTGAGGGCAGGGGCTGCTGCCCCCACCAGTGCTGGCTCCGGATGGAACTGGGGCTAGGACCTGCTGGGAGGTGCCTGCCCTGGGAGGAGGGACCTCGAGGTGGAAATAAAGATGAAAAAATAAACTGCAGGAAGAGGAGGATGACAGCTGGGAAGTTTCCGAAAATACTGTATGTTGTGCAAGTCCCAGTCCCCCTCCTCCAGCCCCTGCCGCGCTCTGACAGCATCGAGGGCAGGGGCTGAGAAGGGAGGGAAGACTGAGCTGGGCTGCCCTGAGCACTGAGCTGCCCTACAGCCCCGGGTTAACTCCTCACGCTCCTGGCATGGATGGTCCCTTGTCTGGCAGCAGGAACAGACACCAGTGGCTGCTCTGCCCTCCA